GCAACAAATAATTGGCTACATCGTGTGTTTTATTTTATCCTATAGTATGTACCTATAAATATTTATGAGAAACTTTTGTCTTGTCGGCCTTTTGTCCGTGACGGCCTTTTGTCCGTGTTAGCCTTTTGACCATGTCGGCCTTTTGTCCATGACGGCCTTTTGTCCGTGTTAGCCTTTTGACCATGTCGGCCTTTTGTCCGTGACGGCCTTTTGTCCGTGACGGACTTTTGACCATGTCGGCCTTTTGTCCGGATCCCGATTTTCAATGATACGGTGGGTTTGTTTTTTAAGGAGTGTTGTGACGCGATTGACAGTTCACTGACGTTCAGCAGAAATGTGTCGTCTGCTAGATTTGTCCCTATTCAAATACACGGCGGGCAAAATGGGCGGGGTTTGTTTGTTGTTGTCTCGATCAAGTTATTTTTTATATGTTTTGTTTATGCCCTGTATGATTTTTAAAACATTACTGACATTAGTTTAGTAGAAAGCAAATTATAATTTTCTACAGTTTAGAATATATTTTCAGTATGATTAGAACAGTATTGAATAAAGCAACTAACGTTCTCTTACTTTTATTATATTCTGCTGGATATTCTCAGTGATTCGACCAACAAAATATACATACAAAGTTTGCATCAAACACTAATCGTCCATTGTTGAAACTAGACCGGTGTCCTTGAGTAATACGCAAAAATAACGATTTAAAGTATATATTTCTGAAATGACCATTAAACGTTGTTAAAAAAGGAATCATGATATCGTCATTTTCGGCAGCCACCATTACAATGACGAAAGTAAAAAAGGGTAGGTCAAGAGAAAGGCTACAAAAGGAGGTAGAAATAAAATTAAAACAAATAACAAGCTGTAGTATTTAAAAAAAATCATAAAAAAACGTTTTAATAACAAGCTTTTACGTAATAATGCACTAAAAAGTAGAAAATAAATTATAGACTACTATTTAAATAACTAGAAAGAAAAGCGTGGGTCACTTTAGTATCTATTGGATACCTTTACTAATGTTAAGGAAGACACCCACGCTTTTCTTTCTAGTTATTTAAATAGTAGTCTATAATTTATTTTCTACTTTTTAGTGCATTATTACGTATAAGCTTGTTATTAAAACGTTTTTTATGAATTTTTTTTCCAGTACTTTACATGTTTTATTTACAATAGAGTTACATGACAAAAAAACCATTGCGCACCTACTGAACGTGATGGCACAGCTATTGAACGTGATGACGCGTGTGGTGTGGTTGGATAGACATGCCTACTAATTCGGTCCAAATTTTAATTAATTCATAAAAAATTAATTAGACATCCAATTAAGTCAAATTTAATTTCAAATTGCATTGTCTTCATGTCTTGACCCACGTGTCAAATGTGAATCGTATCGGTCAAGTAGAAGTGACCGAATTTTCACTCCTGCGTTTCGATCTAGACTGACGACTGACGAGGAAGTGAGTTAAATAAAAGCTTGTAATGATAAAAAGAAAAAAGTCAAGAAATTATACGGCTGCCAGGCTCCACTCGCAGATTCAACTGTTTTCTTTTGTTGATTGTGTAACAGTGCAATAACACCCTATATAGATAGTGACTGGTTAAAACCGAACCAACGTTTGCGAAAATTGGAGGGTGGGGTGGGTCACGTTATGACTACAGTAAATCAGCTAATAAAAAGATATTTACTATGTGCTGCCTTTTAATAGATACACACAATATTATGATGAAAATACAATTCTAAATATTCTATACATTAAAATTATTTTAAAAATAGAATTCATTAAAACAACTTTAGAACCCTTGTGCACAAGACATAATTTTTAAAAATAAACCAATATTTTGCATGTAAAGAATTGTTGGCAGCACCATCGCGTGAACATTACGTTTCCCACTGGTATCGTCTTACATGAGCCGAGCAAAACAACACGTGCATCAAGATAAGAATGTGGGTATCTACGTTCTACACTCATAGCTTGTCCTTGAGATGTTACACTTTTCTATCGTGTGAGTAGGTAAAAAAAAACATGTAGGCCTGTAACTGACTTTGTATTTCTTCCCGCAACAATTAGGGCAAAGGATTTCTGGCATGAGAACTTTAAAATTACGGTAAAACTGCTGATATAAAGTAGCTGATTTATGGAGCAATGCAATCAAGATTAAACTTTTGATCTAAATTTAACATTTCACTAGCACAATCTGGATCTGAAATGAAGACCTGAGTCATGTGATTATAATTTAAATGAAGGGCCTAGTCATGTGACCAGCATATCATATATGGTGACGAGTTTTTTTACTAACATATGAGATAGGTCACAAGCATAATTAAATTATATTATAAATAAAAGAAAGCATAGCATACTACACAAAATCTATGTCGCTCAGCCTTCTAACATGTGAGATGTGTTAATAACTGTATTATTCAAAAGACATAGATTTCTGATGCCCCGCATAGAGAAGATTAAAATATTTATTTTACTTTCTCAAATACAAGATACAAGTATAACCCTTTAGTTAAGTTGTATTTCATGTGTAGTACGTTGAATAAAATATTCATAAAATTGACGAACTTTAACAAAAAAAAAATCTTCTTTGTTTGTAATCTTGTTGTAGTATCAATATAAAAAATCCAGTAAAGGTTTACTGATATACATATTTACATTGAACTAAATTTTGACATTTATGGGTTATTGCTACTATTCCTAGTAAAGAAAGTATTTCTTAATATTAAGCGACGCATAGTTAATTTTGGTATGAAAAATGATTTTTTTTTAAAATATACATTTTATTTTTATGCAAATGCTAAGCTTACTCGTCCTTGTAAGATTTCTTTTGGTTTGGGTATAAACATTTGTTTTTTATTTTGAGAACTACTTTTTTAAATCGTGGGAACGAAAGATTGACATACTTTCTTACTGCAGGGTCAAAGGTTGCCTTAACATGTTCACACTCGAATGTCTGTTATGTAAATCTCAAGGCCAAGACCCTTTTGCCCACTATGCAGACAAAACACACCAGAAACCGAAACGTACATCTATTTAGAATGCCCAACCATACAAAACTTGAAAAAGACGCTAGAAACCAAAATAACAGAAAACGAGAACTTCAACATCGGTATAGTTATAACTATAAACAAAGAGACAGGACGGACCTAGAGCAAAAAGCAAGGACGGTAGCTATATATAGAAAAACTATTTGGAACAGTAGTATAAAAGCAAAACACGACAAGGTACAGTTCCCGGGACACGTACTAGACTTGATTTATCGTAGACGACTCGACAATGACAGCACTCAAACACATATACAATAATTAGCAACACCACAACGTAAAGAACATATTACACTGCATTTGCCACCTGGCCCGCCTAATCTAACCGACACATCCCTTTTCATCACACCCTCCCCGTCCCCCGCCCCTAAACCTCATGACCCCAATATCATATTGCCCCCATAACTGCATCCCCTTCGTCCCCGTGACCCCACCCCTGTGTTGAAATATTATGTTAAATACTGAAGATGATGTATTATCCAAATACATTTCTAACAACTATTATCATATACGTACGGTACTTTGGTCCACAACGTACAAAATGACCCCAATTACCCCCACATTTGTACTTACAGTTGTTTTGTTAACTTAAATAACTCTTTTGACACTGTTAACCAATTTTTTACCTTTAAATCTCCACTGTATCCCCACACCCCGCGATGGCTACACGCCTACCCACCCCTAACCTATCCGTACTAAACATTCAAATAAACATAAACACCGACTTGAACATACCAACCTTTCACCCTCTCGCTAAATCGCTCACACAGCAATCTTTTCGTCACACCCTCCCCCCACCCACACACACTATAAATAGTAACACCTCAGCAGTTAGATCACACAGCACAGAATTTGACGCTTGGCTTTCCTTAAACACACACAGACACCCTCTCCACGCCTCGTCAGACACATCCCCTTCAACTGTTCCAAGAACCCCACCACCCACCCCAACACCAATTTCAAATATCTATTCATTTACTTACTTAAAGTTCTACATCTTGCTTCTTTCCCCTCATCTTTCACACAGCAATCTTTTGAAAACTCAATGCGACCAGTTTACGAATAAACAGTCTTGCAACTGGTCAACATATTTTGTTTCCCTACATAGAAAATGCTTCACTGTCCCATTGATCCCCCCCCCCCCCCCTCTTTGAACAATTTCCTTTCCACTCCCCACCTGGATTCCTGAAACTTTCATTTGATCTTCACCCCTTTTACTATTATCCCTTTCGATTTTTTTTATAATCACCTACATGACAGCATGTAAATATTTATTATGTACGTTTGCATTATGTACATTTTGCATTATATAGGATTTATAAAAAGAAAAAAAAATCAATTTTTTTGGTCTGACTTTGAAAATCTAAAAATTCAAAATTTGTCACAATAGATATTTTTTAGTTCCAGCGATAGGCTACACTGTTATGCATCAACAAGCGTATTTCAGCAGGAAGGGCATAAATGTTGGAAAACTGCAGCCAAAAATTACTTAGTATAAAATTTTTGGTAAAATTATTTATAAAAAATGTTTGCATTATACGTTAACTTTATTTTATTAGCTGTTTTATAGCTCCTTGATAATTACAATTATAGTAAAAAATGTGAGTGTGTATGTATAAAAGTTTTTTTTCAAATGTCTGGGTGATACTGTCCCCTTAAAGTACTTCATCTGTATGCTAAAATAAACAATATAGCAAAAAAAAGCAAGGTACATAGAAACCACTTCTAAAATAAAAAGTCGGGCTCTTAAAATTTCAATTTTTGAAAGGTGCGATCCATGAACTTAATTGACGTTTCAGCATATTTTTTTTTACGTGGGAAATTCGGTGAAGGCAATTTCACAAACAATTTTATCAACACGCCTTAGCCCTAACGTTTTTTTTTTTTTTTTTTTTTTTTCTTCAACGCAATGTTTATGGTATAAATAGACGGCGATATCATCACAAGTAAACAGAAGCAGCGGGTTAGAGAAGTCTCCAGTTCGTGTGATACAGAACTACACAGCTCTACAATGTCTGCTGTTTTAGTGACGGCTCTGTTGTTTGTAAATATCATGTTCATCTGTGGTGAGTACATTTGTATATAACTGCAACGCAAATGAAATAGAGATATTTAGTTTTAATTATCTGTGTATTTTTTTAGGTAACAATTGTTTGTTTTTATTTCCACGTATACGCAGTACAGAGGAAGTATTGTAAACGTTCAAAAAATCGAAATCGATATTTTCACGAATCTTGACGTTTTACTACCCTAGTCGGAAAAACATAGTTTTGCAAATTTATTTGTGTATGTGTGTATGTGTGCATGTGTGTATGTGTGTATGTGTGTATGTGAGTATGTGTGTATGTGTGTATGTGTGAATGTGTGTATGTGTGTATGTGTGTATGTGTGTATGTGTGTATGTGTGTATGTGTGTATGTGTGTATGTGTGTGTGTATGTGTGTATGTGTGTATGTGTGTATGTGTGTATGTGTGTATGTGTATATGTGTGTATGTGTGTATGTGTGTATGTGTGTATGTGTGTATGTGCGTATGTGTGTATGTGTGTATGTGTGTATGTGTGTATGTGTGTATGTGTGTATGTGTGTATGTGTGTATGTGTGTATGTGCGTATGTGCTTATATGCGTATGTGCGTATGTGCGTATGCGCGTATGTGCGTATGCGTGTAGGCGTGTATGCGTGTATGCGTGCATGCGTGTATGCGTTCATGCGTGTATGCATGTACGCGTGTACGAGTTTATGCGTGTATGCTAGTATGCTAGTATGCTAGTATGCGTGTATGCGTGTATGCGTGTATGCGTGTAGGCGTGTATGTGTGTATGCGTGTATGCGTGTAGGCGTGTAGGCATGTAGGCGTATATGCGTGTATGCGTGTATGCGTTTATGTGTGTATGCGAGTATGCGTGTATGCGTGTATGCGTGTATGCGTGTATGCGTGTATGCGTGTGTGCGTGTGTGCGTGTGTGCGTGTATGCGTGTATGCGTGTATGCGTGTATGCGTGTATGCGTGTATGCGTGTATGCGTGTATGCGTGTATGCGTGTATGCGTGTATGCGTGTATGCGTGTATGCGTGTATGCGTGTATGCGTGTATGCGTGTATGCGTGTATGCGTGTATGCGTGTATGCGTGTATGCGTGTATGCGTGTATGCGTGTATGCGTGTATGCGTGTATGCGTGTATGCGTGTATGCGTGTATGCGTGTATGCGTGTATGCGTGTATGCGTGTATGCGTGTATGAGTGTATGAGTGTATGAGTGTAGGCGTGTAAGCGTGTAAGCGTGTAAGCGTGTGTACGTGTGTATGTGTGTATGTGTGTATGTGTGTATGTGTGTATCTGTGTATGTGTGTATTTGTGTATGTGTGTATGTGTGTATGTGTGTATGTGTGTATGTGTGTATGTGTGTATGTGTGTTTGTGTGTATGTGTGTATGTGTGTATGTGTGTATTTGTGTATATGTGTATGTGTGTATGTGTGTATGTGTGTATGTGTGTATGTGTGTATGTGTGTATGTGTGTATGTGTGTATGTGTGTATGTGTGTATGTGTGTATGTGTGTATGTGTGTATGTGTGTGTGCGTATGTGCTTATGTGCGTATGCACGTATGCGCGTATGCGTGTGTGTATGCGTGTAAGCGTGTATGTGTGTATGTGTGTAGGCGTGTATGTTTGTATGCGTATATGCGTGTAAGCGTGTAGGCGAGTATGCGTGTATGCGTTTGTGCGTGTATGTGTGTATGCTAGTATGCGTGCATGCGTGTATGCGTGTATGCGTGTATGCGTGTATGCGTGTATGAGTGTGTATGTGTGTATGTTTGCCTATATGCGTATGTGTGCATGTGTATGTGTGTATGTGTGTTTGTGTTATGTGTTTATACATAAATATATATATATATATATATATATATATATATATATATATATATATATATATATATATATATATATATATATATATATATATATATATATACACTATTTTTTAAAAATCCTATCAGTATTCTTACACAATTTCTTATCTAAAACCCTGTTAATATTCTTTTAAATAGAAAATAACACAAGTTTGACACCATGTTATTTCTGTAAAAATAAAAATAAATGTATGTCTTTAAACTATAAACATTGCTTCAACTTACAGATGTTAAACATCAATTACTTCCCGGACATTCCCCTCCGACATTACCCCCTGAGAGGGTTAGGGTTAGTGCTAGGGCAAGGGCAAGGGCAAGGGCAAGGGCAAGGGCTAGGGCTAGGGCTAGGGCTAGGGCTAGGGCTAGGGCTAGGGCTAGGGCTAGGGCTAGGGCTAGGGCTAGGGCTAGGGCTAGGGCTAGGGCTAGGGCTAGGGCTAGGGCTAGGGCTAGGGCTAGGGCTAGGGCTAGGGCTAGGGCTAGGGCTAGGGCTAGGGCTAGGGCTAGGGCTAGGGCTAGGGCTAGGGATAGGTTTAGAGATAGGGATAGGTATAGGGATAGGGATAGGGATAGGGATAGGGATAGGGATAGGGATAGGGATAGGGATAGGGATAGGGCTAGGGTTGATTTTAGTTTTGTGTTACGTTTTAGGCTTAGGCAGATGCTTTGGTTTGGTCTTTTTCTTAATGTTTAGGAATAAGATAGTTTATAGTTATAGACCTAGGTAGGATTCAAACTTGATAGGGTAGGGGTAATTCCCCGGTAGGGGGTGGGGTGGAATTAACAAGGTGGTAATTGACATGGGGGTAATTTATCCGGGGGTAAATACGGGAGGGGGGTGGGAGAATGTCCTAGGGGGTAATATCCGGGGGGAAGTAATGTCCTGTAGCCATTGAGCCTGATCTGACCGTATGCATTATGTTATCTTAAATAATACGCCTACTTGGTAATAAGCAACAGTGTTTAAAACATATAATACATTTTTAACTCATCGATATTATTTACTTTTAATTTCAATCCAAATTTAACGACAAGTACAAATGTATATTTCACACTAATATAAAAACATATTCTTTAAAACATCACGTGAGGTGTAGGCCTATATGTATTTGTTTGTCATGTCTATTTTTTGTATGCTGATGAAAATGCATTCCAAGTGTTATGTAGCTCTAAGAATGAATCTTTCTTTAACTTATACTAGAAAATATTACCTAGTGCCAAGAACGGGAAACAAATTATGATACTTTATTAAATTAAATTATACTAAACTTCAAGTACTCTAATACTAACCTCTCTCTTGCCAGTAATACATGTCCCCAAAATTTTCTGCAGATTAGACTACTTCTCACAGTAAGCATATTTTATTAAGGAAATAAAAAACGACAAATACACTCAATTAGTACAGTATACTGCCAATACAAACTTAACATTAAATAACATAATAAACACCCTTTACCTAATTATACTGTTAGACCATTTGCATATTATATATATTATAAATGCTATGACATTTGATTTATTTTTGCGTTACAGTACGTAAAATGTGTTTGTTAGTTAATTAATTTGTTCTGCCATACGTGTGGTCGAGTGTAAAATATGTTGGAAGTTACACTTATGTGAATATTGCTCATTCTCAAAAGAGGATGTGTCCTGAACCCATTGCGGTACATTTCCACGAAACGGTTAAGTCCTGCTTCACCATCCGCAATGTTAAGTAATTGAGGTCACATCCTCTACACTCAGACTTTTTAAACGGCAACGACTGCTTTATCTTTGCTTGTGTAATAAATTGCAGCAAGCATAGCGGAATACTTTCTTTTATTTAACTAGAAGTTATTTTTGTTTAAAGAAAAGGTCAAAATGATCTTTCTTCTGAGCTTGATAATCATTGCAAAATTAGCTTGGATCAATGGTAAAGTAGTAAATATGTTTTTCTTGCCTATCGCACAATACTTAATGTATATAATGTTCTGTTATTCTTTAATAGTTTGTTACATCTAAAATTGCCATTGACTTGCACCTTAATGTAATATACTATAACATACAAACATCTATTCAGGGCTTGACATGTCATTAGAGAGAGAACACTACACAGTAGCAAAATATTTATTTTGTGCCAAGTTACATTGTACGGAGAATACAAGAGAAGATAATAGAATATCAGCTCTTGTTAACATGTCATTGGATAATTTCAGTAAATTAGAGGGGAAGATTATGTTGCACTTTTATAATTGATATATTTTAAACGTTTATAAGTTTTTCTTCCCTAATAAAAGCGTACACGCAATTGAATTGAAAGGCTTTTAAATAAATTAATGTTGCCTTTTCAAACCTGACGTTTCATATGACAAGTTAAGAGGAATTCACCTATTTCTGTAATTTCGGCATATGAAGGAATAGTTTGTTCTACACTACGCCGAGCCGTCTAGCGCGCTAGTGTTTTTAAATGCTAAACTATAAATGTAACTATAACACAGTTCATTCCTAAATGGTGTGCCCTCCCCCCTGGCGGCACTGAAAATTGGGAGGTAGGGGGTTGTTGGATGAATTGTGTGCGTACTTTTTTCTTTGAAGTATCGACCTCTTTAGGGCTTTGCAACAGAGTTAGTAGCCTTTTCCTCTACATTTCCTTAATGTTGGTTCATTTTCTATATATTGTTCTCTAAATCATGTCTCCAATTAAATCTATGCGGATTTTTTTCCACAATGGGTTCCTTCTAGGTTCTAATAGTTGATGCCAAATATTTGTTTAAAGAGTAGTCACTCCTTTGGAATAATAATAAATAATCTACACCTCCTTTTGAATCAGTTTCTGTATTGTGTAACTCTAGTGTTCTTCTTTGATGATGGTTTCAATCAAGTTTCTTTTAAAACTGTTCTTCAGGCGAGTATACATCAAACATTTTGTTCATGCATGAATTGTATTTTTATATTAATTCTCAAAGTTATTGCTCTATGCAAACGTTTAGGCCTGATCATTTTAGTTTGAACTTGACAATCAGTTTTCTCTAACTCAAGGCGTTTTCATATGGCTAAAAGCTTCTCTTGCCTTTCCAATTCTGGCGTTTTTTGTCTGCACCTCTTCGAGCTATATTTTTATTGTTTGTCCTGCCTTGGTGTGGCAGATTTTATGTTTTATATATATTTATCTTTCAGTTATTTAGGAGAGATTTTTTTTTCCTATTTTCTATACGATTCTGTTTTTCTCCCTATAAACTTGCCTTTAGAGTTGTAGATATTTTGGTTGCTTTTTTTCCCTATTGTAATTTTTATTGCTTTGGTGAGATAAGACGAGATATTCTACAAAGTCTTAGTCATCAAATTGTTATCAGTGAGTCCGTGGTATATACTTTCTTTTTTACTCTGTCGCAATTCTCATGATCCAATCAATGGCAAGATGGAACAACGCTAGAGACAATAGTCGACCAGTCTCATTGTTATCTTTATCTTTTTCTTATGCAAAACTCTACACTTTAATTCCGTGTAAGACTATGCATTTCTTTGATAAGTTGCTCAATTATATCTAAGTATCATAACAGCGAATGTGCCTTTCAACAAAGAATGTTGTTTATTTACTATTGAGAGCTCTACTCCTTTGATCGGTTTTTATCAACATACCATATTTTATCAACATACTTTATTTTATCAACATACCATATTTTATCAACATACCATATTTTATCAACATACCATATTTTATCAACATACCATATTTTATCAACATACCATATTTTATCAACATACCATATTTTATCAACATACAATATTTTATCAAAATACCATATTTTATCAACATACCATATTTTATCAACATACCACTTTTTATCAACATACCATATTTTATCAACATACCTTTTTGCAGATGACCAGCCTCACAATATTATAAGACTATCTAAAATGTTATTAAATGCAGCGTTTAAACTTTATTTTGGAAGTTTACACGCGGTTTACTTACATTCATAAAGCGAGGAAGAGAATATTGCTGAAAACACTCTCACTTCATCGACTGAGGTAATTGAAATAGGTGAACTCTACTGCACCATTGACCGTCAGGATCGCAAAACGGTTAACGTTTGTGCTTGTACAGTAAAACGAATAAAGTATCCAGATATAAAGTGACAATTTTGACAACAATAACGAAAAAAAAGAATTCCCTTAAAATTACTGCATCGAAGTGGTATAAGTACACGATTGATCAAATATATTATATAATAATTGGACCTTGTAGAATCGATCAGCATATTATAATACCCGCAACGTATTAGCATAAACTGCATTCGGTAACGGAACATCCTTAATATATTATTAACATGTCAGTATTATGTAGTATTACACTTATAATGTGTGTATATATTTAAATTGTAATAATTTATAAGATGCTCCAGAGATGTAAAGATGAAGTACGTGATGTGGCCGTTTAAACGTTACAATATAGGCAGACTAGTCTTATGTTGCCAGAAATATTTTTTGCCTCAAGCTGACAGAAATGTAAAGCTGTATTACAGTGATGAGAAGCAGTGTAGAACATCTGTGTGTGATCGATCTTTTACCTATTGGAATTAAAACAACATAAATGCTTTAACGATGGGATACATGTTTATTTAAAACTTATACTTATATAAATAATAACTTACGGTGATAAACAACTTTTTTCAAACACATAGACATGATGGTAATTGGAGGGATATTACTGCTTTTTGTTTCTCAAATTAAAGCAAACTCAGCCATTTTTTATGCTTACAAGTTTTTATAAAATACTTATATATTTTCAGGACTTGACATTTCATTGGAAAGAGAATATTATATGGAGGGTAAAGATTTATTTTGTGCCAAGTTACATTGTGTGGAGAACACAAGAGAAGATAATGAAATCTCAGCTCTTGTCAACATATCAGTCTATAGGATCAGTGAATTAGAGGGGAAGATTGTGTTGGCGTCTGTATCAGAATCAGATTCAAGAGTTCGAGATTATAAAGTAAATGGATCAAAAGTTGATGGAAAGTTTTCAAAGGTGCTTGGAGACTTGACTGTGTCATTTACAAAAACTTCTGATTGTTTTAGTACTGTGTTTGGATGTGATGTGTATTACACAAATAAAAGGGGTCTCGTTGAGAAGAAAGAGAACAAAACAAAACCTGTTGACCAAGACAATCGTAAGCCGCTGATGTTGATGACCTTAGAGGCTAAAACTCCAGAGTTTGATAAAACAATTGATAGAATGTCAGAGTTTCTAAAAACTTTTAAATATTCTGAATTGTTAAACAGTGCTGACTTGAAGATAAATTTACAGTTTTCAACAGACGACAGATATTCTAACCAAACTGTAAGTCAAATAAATCATAGAAGAGAGTTACCGGTGGAAGAAAGAGCTGACAACTTAGTTAATCTTACAAATGCGATGGAAAGTAGATTGAATAGCTTGTTAGTTGCTCAAGAATCTAAAACTCAGAGACTCGAACACAAAATTAACAACATAACAAATGAATACAAGGACGTTAAGAACAAATTGGACATACAAAATAAAACTAATCAAGAGCTTGCGAAGTTTAAAAATTACTTAAATGAAAACTTATTAAAAACATCTAAACAGATGGAAGCAAACAATAAAACACTTAAAATATACAATAGATCAATAAAAGACGTACAGAGTCATTACATGGCTTTAAACAAACAACTGGAGAAACTGAACTACAGTGTGATTAATGTATCTTTAAGTTTGTCTCAAAATTCAAATGAAAAGGAACATCTGACTAAAAACATGCAAGATTTGAAAATAGATTTATTAAACGTGACTAAGCAAATCATTGAAAATAGCACTTCGATTTTGGAACAACGTCAAAATGTGCGCATTCAGCAACTGGAAGAAAGCAACAAATTACTGTCAGAAACACTTAAAGATTTAAACGCCAACACGGAGAAGACTAACACATCCATACAAAATCTGATTAAGAAATCAGCTCAAATATATGTCGTATTCAGTAGATTGAATGGATTTTTTGGACTTGAAAACGTACGTTAAAATTTAAATATATATATATATATATATATATATATATATATATATATATATATATATATATATATATGTATATCATATTTATATAACATGATCAGATTTTTACGTTCTGCTAATTCCTGATTTCGCTTGACATTGTCAGTTTTGCAAAGAGATTGCAAAGCTCCGAAATAAATGTTCTTTTTTTATATGATATTTTGCAATCTAGCCTTAAATCAGCCTCCCATATAGGCCCCTACATGCGTCAAACGTAAAAATACGAACACGTTTTTTATTGGTGTTTATTGAAAAGAACTTAATGTTCTACAAAAAATTTGGGGTATATATTTTTAAAAGTATATTTTATAATTAATAAGAATTCATAAGAAGTACGATTAAGTAGAATGCCTATAAAATAAATTACATTAAAATTGCATGCCAGCAGCTCACATTAAGAAAACGTTGGTCCTTGTCCTGACAATACTTAACAAAATATTCACGTTCATATATTGGTCATTTATGTCATTAAATTCTAACACATACCAACGTTAGCTCTACCTATACATATACACACACACGCACAAACAAACACACATAACTATATAAGTCCAGATATGCATATATATATCTATATATCTATATATATATCTCAATATCTCTCTCTATACATATATATATATATATATATATATATATATATATATATATATATATATATATATATATATAATGTGGGTGGGTATTGGTTTGTAATATATATATATATATATATATATATATATATATATATATATATATATATATATATATATGTGTGTGTTAACATATATATATAAGTGTGTATGCTTTCTTCTTTATTGTGTGTATATGTGTAATGTTTTGCTAGGTGATAACTTTGTTATAGATAATACCATATATTTATTAAAATAAAGTAACGAAATGTTTACCCCGTGTGATGTAAACACATATATCTTCAATTTATTACATTTTTACCTATAATAAATAAATTATTTGAAATATTATTTTACTTCAGTTAAAATGTGCCCACATGAACGATCGTGTTTTAGCGGATATGATAGAGGCTGAAGTAGATGTCAGCAGAACATTGTGTGATAACAAAACTGACGGTGGTGGATGGATTATTATACAGGTTATTTTGTCCTATAAATCATTCTAACCAATTATTAAATTTTGTATATCCTGTATTTATCTGACAGTTTTGATGAATTTATTCAACTGAAAACATATTTATAATAGTCAATTATAGTTTAGCTATTACCTAAATAATGTAAAACAAATAACAGTTGAACGACTTTCACTGTGTTTGTACTATATATTGTTTGTTTATTTGAAATTATAATGATTTTGGTAGTTGTATCGACATCAAGAGATACCATCTCTATTAATAATTTTAGCTAAACCGTTGTTCAATAGTTTAATTGGTTGACCAGGTGAACAGTTCACAAGTGTATTTTTTAAATATTTCATTCTTTGGCGGATTTTAAAAAAAAAAGCTGATTTGTAGTCTTTTTTTTTTTTTTTTTTTTTTTTTTGAAATAACTAACGTTAGAAGTTTGAAATAAAACAGAGAAATTCAGACTTCGTGATAGATAACGATTGTGTTCAGTGTACATTTAGTGTATTTTATTAATGTGCAGGAAAATCCTTTTTTGCTGTATGTTTAAAAGTTGCGATGTATCTGTTTAAAGTTTAAACCGAAGGAAACGTTAAAGCAAGGGGCTATCTGGTGATTGTGTAGCTGGTTTGTTGTATAATATAACAATATAGTAAAGATTCCTCTTTAGACCTAACGATCCATTGGGCAGATGAAGTAAACTTCATGTTTCTTGACCTCGGCATGTAAAGGGATAATGTGGGCAGCACTATGCCCAGCCGCCTTTACTTTCCTTAACGTGAGTTTGGTGGACTCAGGGACATTCTAATAACTTAACCAGGTTTAGAACTCGAAACTTTCGGGTTAGCAGTCTAGCGCTTTACCGCTAGGCCACGCCGTCTCATTATAATATAACAATAATCTTGATTAATTTTATAGATAATTAAGCCTTTGAATAAATTCAATCAACTCCCTAAGCCGTTGTTTTACTACTACCGTTATTTCTTAAATAAGCATTTTGATTTCTTAAAACATTGGATTGTTATTAACACTTGCGTAAAATAAAAACATAATTAATCTACAGAATTAATCATACTTATTTCTTAAACTTTATTTTAGCATTGTCGTTAATTCTTTTAGAGACGTATCAAAGGTGATGTGAAATTTACAAGAACTTGGAACGATTATAAAAATGGATTTGGTTCAACATCCGGAGACTTTTGGATCGGAAATGATGTAATTTCAAAATTGACAGATTTGGTAAGGAAATATTGGCTGTTTAAAAACCAGGCATGGAAACTGATTTTTGTACTAAAACATTACGAAGTAAAACTTATTAATATGTTTTAGGGAACTGTGTTAAGTTTATTGTAACCCACACGCACTGCACGATGTAGATGTTATCAAGTAATTTGTAATTCTTAAAGAAATCACTTTATTCGATACAACTATACACTAGCTTGTGAGTTTAGATGTTTGATAACTGTTTCAAAAAACATGGGGTCTTTTCAACATCAGTTTTTCAATTCGATCATAATTTATTTTACTTGCTTTTCTAAGAATTATCTAATTTAAAATTTAGTACTTGCATTGACAATTAAATACATTGCAGTTACTAATATGACACTGGCAATTACGTATGAAACACGTTTTCTTGGTGGATGTGATTTTTATATATTTTACAACAGCAAAAATTATCTGACATAAACTATATTACACCATCTCAATTGACACAACTTGCACATATAAAGGGAGTCTATTAATGGAAAAAAACATTTTATTCTCCTCTCGATAAACACAAGTCTTTTAAAATAAATCGCAATATATCACGTTATTCATATTATTATATGATCTCTGAATTGTAGATGAAATACACTTTATTTTGTTTTTAATATCTCAACGTTAGATTTTAGCGGTCTTGATTTCATTGGTCTTTAATTATCCTCAAGTCATATTCCTCTATCATTTCCTTATATTAACTACCCTGTAAATTACACCCACTAAACAAATAACTGCAATCGGTCACTAACCCATTTTATTATTTAACGGACACAAATACAAAAAGAAATGGATGAAAAGTTAGCAATAGGTAAAACTTAGGGTTGTGAACAAGAAATGGATAGATATGGTAATATGTTGACATTTAAATGAGGGGACAGTAATTACATAACTAGGGTAATACTAAGTTTTAGAGGAGAGTTTTATTGACTAGCAGTGAATAACTGATTAGATAAGTGAAGGATAATGTACTACAATTGGCAGTCATACTTTTGTTTAGCCTAGATATTTCTCGTAAGAAAATATATTGATATTGATGTGTCACTATCAGTGGCGGAACAAGAAAAAAGACTCCCCCGCAAAAAGTTTTTGCTACCCTGTTTAACCAATTATAAATTATCTTTTTTCCTGAGTAATTTAAACTATTTCATAGCGATGTATAACCACCCTGAGATAACAAACCTGAAAACATTATGTCCAAACTCATTTCAGGCCTGGTGTAATCGTGTTTTATAAATACAGTAACTTCACACACCATTTGGGTAGATATTTACAAGGTAGTTAATGTGATGCAACGGGTATAATAAATAAATAGACACATAAGTAAATATATACATAATATAATTTGGGTTTAAAACACGTTGGTTAAAACAGTGGTCAAAGCAGGGGCGTAGCAAGGGGGGTGCGGGGGGTGCGGACCGCACTGGGTGACACCATTTAGGGGGGTGACACCAAGGCAAAAAAATAGCAAAATATATAGAGAAAAATGATAATTCCACTTAATAGAGTGATTAATTAGAGTGTTAAATAGCCTTTTAAGAGTTGGGGGTGCAAATCGAAAGTTTGAGGGGGAGGGGTGTAAATCGCAGGTTTGAGGAGGGGGGATGCAAATCGAAAACTTGAGGGGGGGGGGGTGCAAATCGAAAGTTTGAGGGGGGAGGTGCAAATCGAAAGTTTGAGAGGGGGGGGGTGCAAATCGAAAACTTGAAAGATTGCCCCGGGAAGGGTCGCAACGCCTCTGGGGGGGGGGGGGATGACACCATTAAGTGCCGCACCGGGTGACACCCGACCTCGCTACGCCACTGGGTCAAAGGCTAGTTTATAACATTTTACCAGTAAATGAGGGTGAAAATTATAACATATAGTAGAATAGTTGAAAACAAAGTTAGTTTACGTTGATTTCTTCCCATTTATTAAATTAAATAGAAAAGAAAAAAAAACAAGATTCAAACGAATCGAAACTGATGGGTTGAGTGAGATCGTTGGAGTAGGTAAAAGTAGTATGAGGATATCCAGGTTAAGGGTTATGTGGGTAGAGGGGGCGGCTCGCGGTGGCTGACGAAGCGTAAAGAGAGTGATTGTGTGTGGGTTTAAGGCGAGCCAGGCGAGCCAGGCGTTTATGTTAGTTTAACGTTTAAATTTGTAACAAGGTGAAAAAAACCAAAGGCTGGTTGAAAAATATACAGTTCGCATGGTGTGTGTATTTACCATTTGTAAAACTTAGTAAAATAGTCAACACACATAGATGTTTTTCATAAATTTCGTCACAATGTGTACAATAGTGGATACAAAAGAAAACAAAAACAACACAAACAAATCAAAGTTGATGTTGGGGTGGGGGGGGGGCGTTGTGTGGTCGTTGGGGGGGGGGGGGTTACCGAACATGTTGGAGTGTTAGTCATTGAGCGGGAGGGGGTAAAGTGTGCTGCTTAAGGGTCGATGTGCATAGTCGTAGCTACGATCATTTAAATGTTTAGTACCGACATGTGTGGGGTGGGTAGGTGTGAAGCTATAATGATGTGTGGGGATACGGTGGAGTTTTAAAGGTCAAAAATTGGTTAGCAGTTTTCTCATTAAAGAATTTGAATAGTTTCGTACATGTTAATAAAGGTTAACAAAACCATTTTAAGGATGGCTTTTATGAAATTCAACTCCATGTGAAAAGAGGTGGGGGTCTAGGTGGGTGGGGTCATGTAAGCTGTGGACCAATGGACAGTAGATATAAAATACTATTAAATTAGTGTTAAAACATATCATTACAATGTTTGTTTGAATGTTATGTAAATAAAACCGATACAAAAAAGGAGCAATAGAAACCATATTTATACAGAATAAATAGCACGAAAAGAGATAGGGGCACGAGGGTTGTAGGGGTAGTGTCATGGGGGCAAAAACATCCGAAAGGGGAGGGATTGGTGAGACACCAGAGGCGGTGATGCGTATCTAAGGTGTTCGAATCAAGAAACTCGGAAGCTGAGAGTTAAATATATATTACCCAACCGTAAACCTTATACATTCGAGATTGTAAACGAGTTTAGTATTAAGCCGCCGTAGAGGTTGTATACTGATCGAGAAAAAAAAACGATGCTCTTTTAGACACGCTCTGCATTCCTACCATAATGTAGACTACAACTTGACCTAGATGCATTGCTGAGGTGGAGATAAAATAAATAAATAAAATTCAAGAATTGGACGATAAAGATATATGACAAATATGAGCTGAAGAATGTATTGAATCTGGCTAAAACTGTTAATGGGCTGTTGAAAAAGGGGATAAATAGATGGATGGATAATATAAGCTGCAAATGTGGAGATAAGTAGTGAATGCAAAGTCTTGAAATTTCTGCTATTAATATAGCATACAATTGTTTACAGTTACTAATACATTCATGCTGATAATTTTATTTAATCTTCATATCGATTGGACTGTGCGTCTGGTGTACACATGTCACTGAAATGCACATTTAAATCATCAGTTATGGCATTGACTATTTAAAATACATTTAAATGGACCTAGATTAAGTAACGTGCTATTTTAATGGCGAATGCATAGTAATGTATTTCGTTGAGTTTTTAAATTTTACAAAACAATAGCTAACTAACGAAACAAATACTATACATCTTTAATTGATATGACGAAGGTGCATTTGCTGCACATGCAGTATGTTAATAGATGAATAAATTAACAAAGCGTGTTTTTGTTTTTATCGGGAAAAAAAGCTAAGTGTCATGATCCGTTTATTTCAGAAGTGTTTATTAGATAACCGATATACAGATTAGTTAGATATTTTTAGGAAGGGTAACACAGCTTATATAATAAAGATCGTGGTTATGTAACGAACCTTAAAGAATAGTGTAATGCAGTCAGCAGGATATTTTCCACCGGTCATTTCTTCCTCTACCGGTTTTATCAACAGTTCTATTCCACACCCTCCCGCCTGCCCTCACCTTTATTATATTAACCCCATTACACAACATACATATAGAGATACAAATAAGATACGTTGTAAGATTTAGAATTAGGGCTATTGAGCTTATCAAAAGAAGGAAAAGTACATAAGTTATATATATATTGTAAGGGGAGATGGGTTGATTACCTGCTAGCGTGTTACAACTGCAGGCAAAGCAAGGAGATTAATGAAAAGGATTGAGTTCTAGAAAAGCCATAAGTAAATTGAATATAAATAGTATTTCTTGTAAGGGAATATATTTTTAATTTGCAATGCTAGCAGGCAATAGATAATGTAATATTTCCTTTCTCAACAGTCGTCTTTTGTTTTAATGATGGGATAGATACAGGAACTATCAAAATAAGTTTACTCAATATTTTCTTTTTACATAGAAAGTTTCAAGCAATGTGTGTTTTATTGTAATAATGTGTTTTGGAAAATTTTGTATATTGTTTATAGATTTTCGTTTCGTTTTTTTATCATTATGTATAATTATCATATAGTATAGATGGATCAATACTTACAATATTTCAAACACAATGCAATATCTAAATATTTCTAATTTTTTGTCTAACACAGGGTTATAATGAACTCAGATTCGACATGAAGTATAAAGGTAAAGACTACTACGCTGTGTACAGAGGTTTTAAGGTAGAAAATGAAGCAGCAAAGTATAAGATGAGCTACACGTCATTCAGTGGTGGGAATGTTGTAGTCAGCTTTAGTTATCACAAGGGCATGACGTTTACAACCATTGACTCTGATAACGATGTGTGGCCAGGTGGCAACTGTGCTGTAGACAGGAGTAGCGGTGGTTGGTGGTATGGTTGGTGTCACAGGGTTAACGTCAACGGTGAATGGGCGAGTGGTGTTAAATATAAAGGAATTCAATGGGATAGCATTACAGGCTGGTATGACTCTCTAGACTTTGTTGAGATGAAACTTCGTCGAATGTAAACAACCCGAAAACAATGCTATGGTAAAACAATGGGTAAACAAAATCAAATTGCTTATAAACATAAACAAAATTTCATATATTAAAATAAATAGATGTTAACATTTAACTAAGGCAATATTTTCTTGATGGTGAGTCTACATAAGAAGTTTAAAATTAACGAACATTAAACCAAACATTTTATTTTAAAAAATTATTTTAAAAACTATAACTGAGTTTGTTTTGCTATTATTAGAACAGGAAAAAAACCCGACTATGATGGTGTCATTTATTTCTTGCATATTCATAACTAGACTAGTAGTATAGTTGTCATCTACCTCTATATATTTAATTAGACATTCACTCGGATCGTGTGAAGTTCAACTCTAATAACGTGTGTAATGTTTGTGCAATTTTTTAAATAATTTTTTTTCGCATAGTTTTTCGAAAGATGTATATATGACATCTAACATAGCATAAAGTAGATAGTAACTGTTAATTTGGGATCTGTAAAGCTTTGTATTATAAATGTGAACATTTAAGTAAATCCTTTGTTTAAGTAGTTAATATATTATCTAGTGTATGTCATATCGAGCATGTTTGTTTATTAAGAATTGTTTACTATCACATATAAGTACATATTAGTACAAAATAAAAGTATAATTCTGAATATGTTTGTATTACTGAGATTGGAATTGTGACCTACTAAGGTCTGGTTATTTTTAGGTACATTTGTTATAATACCATATATGGTTTGTGGTGCAATGACTGGTTTTTTCCGCTGTCTTACTAAGAGAGTCTTAGACTCAGAAATTTTCCATCAAGAGTCTGACTGATTGATTGATTCAGACCAGATGATCTAGTGGTTAAGATCTCGTCGCGCCACGGCGGCGGCCGAGGTTCCATTCCTCGGTGAGAAACCGAGAATGGTAGCTCAAGTTGTTTTGGGATAGACACTTGAAGAGACCCCCCCAGTGGTTAGAATCTCGGCGCGCCACGGCGGCGGCCGAGGTTCGATTCCTCGGTTCGGAGCCGAGAAGGGTGGCACTGTTACGCAGTGGCCTGGATCACGCTCGCCCAAGGTGGCGTAGATCCCATGACCCTCAGGGTGGCCCTTGTGGCCTGGATCGCATTTTCGATCCCATGACCCTCGACCTGTGTGGTCGTATGACTTGAGTACTTGGTGACACACAATAGGCAGTTACTTTACCAGACGTCTTTGAGAGAGCATAAGCCCTGTGTGATGCCGTTTAGTATTAAATAGTTAAGTAGCATATTCTTAAATTACTAGTGGCTTAGTAATTCTTTATGCTAATAGCAGCGTTGTGTATACTGTGGTGATTTTTCTGAAGTGTTAAAAGCTGTGATAGTGTATCATATTATGTTTTTCCACAATTTGTAAGTTGGGTTTTTGTTCATACTGTAAAACTATTATTCCTTTATTGTGTTTTACCACGACTTTGTACACTCATTACAAGTTATATGCAGATTAAATGTATTGTTGACATCAGTAGTTTCTCTAGTGTTTCCCCTAGACATGTTGTACGAGTTCTAGTAAAATTACTGTGTTAGCTTTCTTTTATTTAGGCTTGTCGCCATCTGTGTGTAATCAGTTAAACGAATCCGGGAGCGTTCGCCATCTATCTGGCTGATAGATTGGTGTCCGTTACAGAATATTCTTTCATTATCGTTTTCAAGGTACATAACTATACTCTCTCAAATCAAGTGGGTAATTTTAATTGTTATTTCCCGTTAACAATTTAGTGTCGTTTGTGTTCCATACCATAGGCTAGAGAAATTTCCAATTACCTAATTTTATAATTGTATTTGTTTAGTATGTTTACATGGACACAATTAATGGAAAGCAATTATATGCATTTATATATATCTTTATTATAAGGTCCACTTAATTTTTATAGCAAACCTCCCTTTGTGTAGTTTAAGGAATTTTTTGGTTTATATATTTACAAATACATCCGTTTATACAACTTATGGTTAACTTTTATTTCATTTGTTTTGATTTTTCGTTTATTTTTTGAACACATAATAAAATCTTCGGAATTATCAAACATTTAATAACTGTCGTTTTTTAATGTGATAAATGCAATAAGGACAAAAAGCTTATTGTAGTGTGTAAATGAGTCCACACCAGACCACTGCTGACAAGATTTTACCTTGATGTAATTTTTGGTATTAGCTCGAGTATTAGCTTTCTTTTTTAAATCTCTGGTCTCAGTTAAAAGTTTCTTTAGCATCGTGCTTTATTACTTTTCAGAATTCCCTTTAACAAGTTAGATGGTATTATAATGAGCTTAAAACGGTAATGCTCGTGTGTTAGAAATGAGAGTCTGGCTTGTATACTGAAGGCGTGTGTATGTGTGTGTTCCCAGAGTATTGCTGACCTGACCTTAAAAACTTAATAAAAACGACTTCATAAAAACGATTAAAAAACAAGTTTTCATGTACTAAAGAGCATAAAAAAAAAACGTATGAATAAATCATCAAAACCGAAAGCTGATTAAGCGTGTTAAAATATGCTTATTTTTGTGTGGACCAACTAGAATATATTACATATTTACCAAAATAAAGTGCATTTTATTGTGTGTATATTCATAATTAGTTGTATGTTTACTCTGTCATTGTTATTATTAACATATGTAGCATGTAATAGTAATCGTATAGTTTAAACTCTTACTTTGATATCAAAAGTTGGATGCTTTTAATGAACGAAAAATGGCATCCACTGGCCACAGACTATCTTAAATAATAGGTTTCTAGGAGACAGAGAAATTGAAACTGTATCAGAATTAACTGAAGAAAGATGGCGCTGAATGTGCCATGTATTAAGGATGAGACCAGACAAAGTTACAGCAATGGCGCTCGATTGTCAACCCTAAAATGGACTGTGAAGGTTGAGGGAGACTTAGATACAGACAGCAGAAAACTAAGTGAACTGTGAAGGTTGAGGGAGACTTAGATACAGACAACAGAAAACTAAGTGGACTGTGAAGGTTGAGGGATACTTAGATACAGACAACAGAAAACAAAGTGGACTGTGAAGGTTGAGGGAGACTTAGATACAGACAACAGAAAACTAAGTGGACTGTGAAGGTTGAGGGATACTTAGATACAGACAACAGAAAACAAAGTGGACTGTGAAGGTTGAGGGAGACTTAGATACAGACAACAGAAAATTAAGTGGACTGTGAAGGTTGAGGGAGACTTAGATACAGACAACAGAAAACTACTGACAAGAGCAGAGAAAGTTGTGAAAGACTGGCTTTCTCTGGCGGCCCCATTTACCATGGGTATCGACGGTAAAAGGTGATGATGATAAAAATCATGCAGAAATATTTTTAAAAACATTTTATTCTATAAACCAAAACCCCAATTTGGCCGACTGAATTAACATATCGATTTCTCAAGCGTTTGGATTTTAATGTTTTAATTGCAAAAAAACTTAATTACTTTTTGAAACACCTTGAAATTACTTATTGAAGAGAAAATGTAGATCAGTCAATATAAAATGTACGTCTTTATATTGATTTTAAAATTCTCAATACATTTGGAAACTGCTGTAATTTATTTCCTAATTATAATTTCTGTCTCAGTTTAGGGCAAAGTACGAACAATACGATTTTTCTTTTAACAATTGTGTATTTTACAAGCTTTTATTTAACGTGCATACTATGTTTGGCCAATCCATTTCCATTTTCTCACCGTCGAGTATGTTATAACTGGGATTAGCATAGGATAGAAAACTGGGATAGAATATCGCTCAAATCTTAATAGTTTTTATGTCCACACTACTATATTGTTTAATTGTAGATTAGATAGATCATAATAGCTGTAATATGAATAGTCCTTAGTGTATGTGCTTGAACGTCCCCTTCACTAAATACAAGTCTGAATAGCCTGTAGTTGTCCCAGTAGTGAAAAGTTCGAGTTAATGGATGCACAGGTCAAGCGTCCCGCCCTTCGCGGGACTGCTGGGGTTAGGCAGGGGTTGGGTTACCTTAGGGTGAAGTTGGGGCCGTGCGAATGAATTAAGTTAGTTGGATGCTAGACTTGTTATCCTGTGGAAGTGTGTGTCTTGTGCTCCGTGGCGGAACTCTGTGCTAGTTTATTTCGTGTATTAAAAGTCTTAAAATCGTACGTGTGTTGGCGTTATTAAATCAAAGTTTAAACTGTTACCTCAACCCTCACTGCAGTCATCACCACCATCAAAACAAAGCACTCAAATGACTACATAACAGAGTACCCGGACCTAATTAGTTTGAACCTGACCATCATACTCTGATTCATGAGGACATCCGATAGTCACACCTAAAGTTATGAATCTAGTGCGTTTTTTTTCCTTAATTTCGCACCCTACCTTTACTCGACAAATTTACGCCCCTGACTGTATATGCGAACTTTCTAAAAATAGCAGACGATGAACCAGGAGAATCGTACCTGGTCAAAACATTTTTGGTTTTTGATAACGATTCATCTCTGGGTGAGGCGAGGCCTAGAATAGAGAAGAGTTTGTCGAGTTTAATGGTTACGGAAAACTGGAATACTGTACAATTTTTTAATTGTTGAATGTTCAGTCCATGCGAATAAAGAAAATTGAAGATAAATTGTCATAATAATTGCGCTTGTTATCGAGTGGTATAAAGTAAAATCTAGTTTGAAAAAAAAACCACGTAGCGAGCAGTGTTTCTTCCAGGCATTTCTTCGGGGGGTGGGGTGGGGGGGGCCTCCAAAGTCCGCCCCCCACCCACCCCCCGGAAATTTTAAATGCCCCCCCCCTCTCCCCGAAGAAAAAAGTCTGGAAGATGTCACCAGCTAATGAGCCTCAACTGACCTGCTCCCGACACTCGGGACGTAAGAGTTAGCAAATCCCACGGTCTCCCGCCCCACCCCGCCGTCTCCCGAGAAGCTATTGATAGGGTTGATTAAAAGTTGAGAGGGTTGATTAAAGTTGATAGGGTTGATTAAAAGCTGAAAGGGTTGCTTAAAATATCGATAATGGTCTCATTTATTTATTAAAAACAGAATTTGAATTTTATTGTGAACTTTCTATAAAATACTATGCGAGTTCTACCCTTAAACACTTTTGTTTTAAGATTCACGTGAGAAATAAAAAATTAAGTAACCTTAACCGGCTAAATGTTATTGGATCATATGTTTTTATTCGGTTGCTTCCCCTTGATAGATGTAGTACTAATCTTTCATGTAATTTAAAGGTCAAAGTAATACTGACAACATTTAAACCCTGACTCCACATTAAACCCTGACTCCACATTTAAACACTGAACATTTAACACTTGACTTCACATTTAAACACTGACTCTACTTTTGAACACTAACTCCACATTAAAATACTAACTGCACATCTACGCACTTTTGTAGTACTAAACATCTGCAACGTTTCTGCACACAGGCGATATATTAGAAACATAACCCAACAGTCCAGCATGGGATGGGGGGGGGGGGTCATCCCTAAATGACGACGAATAGCACTGCATACTTGAGCTGCAGCTGTACTTGAATAAACCCAAGCACCCCCTGCAACCGTTTTAGAGCATCTGCTGCACTTCCGAATGCCAACATGTGTATGTGCTGTGCTGAGGTAATTAAAAGTTATTTATTCTAAATGATAATTTGCGTCGTAGTATTGCTTAATAATTTTTTGTGAATTTATTTAAGATTAATATTCGAACAGACTAAAGTGTTTTACATATACATATTAGAAGAATATAATATTTTTGCAAAGTAACATTTAAATTCAACAATCAAGAAATTATTTATTAATTTAATAATAATTTGTACTAGAGAGTTTGTCAAAATACTTACAATTGGCATACACGCTTAAAAA